CTGGGGGCTGGGATTCTGGGATTCTGGGAGGCTGGGAGTCTGGAAGCTGGGATTCTGGGAGGCTGGGAGGCTGGAAGCTGGGATTCTGGGAGGCTGGAGGCTGGGAGTCTGGGGGCTGGGATTCTGGGAGGCTGGGATTCTGGGAGTCTGCGGGCTGGGAGTCTGGGGTTCTGGGAGGCTGGGAGTCTGGGGGCTGGGATTCGGGGAGTCTGGGGGCTGGGTTGCTGGGTTGTTGTGCCCCACACTGGTCTCCCCACCCTGCCCTGAGCCTGGCTGCTCCACTACAGTGAGTGTACAGTGATGGGCAGGTCTGAGCCCCCTACTCTCCTTTCATCAAAGCAGCTTCATCTGTTGTGTGGAGTGAGATTCATTTTGTTTCAGAAAGGTCCATGCTGCTGACGTAGCCATAGACATTAAGTGGAGTGTTTAGGTTGGTTTATAAACCATATTTCTGCAGACATGCCTGCCATAGACTGCACAAAGGCATGCCGATGTTGATGATTTTCATCAAATTAGTGTGAAGAGATTATGGAATAAAATGAATATACTCAAGAAACAAGATGGGGAGGAGATGCTGCTTACTGAATCATCCAGACTAAGAACAGCACAACGCCTTCAATATCATTGCTGCCCTTTTCACCCATTGTTGCTGTGGCTCCCCCCCACGCACCCCCCCCCCCGAATCTTAGTAAAAGAATTCAGAGCAAAATTAATTGTCCTGTGCACGGCCCTAAGAGTGTGCTGGGGCTGAGAACCTGGAGACTCGGGACAGGTCCCCAGGAGCTCGCAGGCCCACGCAGGAGCAGGGAACCTGCTCTGCTTTCTGTCTTTCTCCTGCTCCCCTGGGTTGCTTTGTGAGGGCGCAGATCTGAGTCAGCCACACAGAAAGCCTGCCCTGGGGCGCCTGCCCCGACAGACAAGCACTGCCTGGCCTCAAATGCCAGCCTGCATCCCATCTTGTTTCAGAAGCAATCAGAGCTTGCAGAGAATGTCAGCCCGGCTAACAGCGGCATGAAGGAAGCAGTCACCCGTAACCCCACCTAGAAAGACAGGATCTGGGTGTCCTCTCAATCTCCACCCTGTGTGGGCTTAAAGACCCTCCCACCACCTTTTAATGCTGCATCTTGTCCTTTGCTTGCCATCTTCTTGTGAACACTTTTCAAGATCGTCATGAGAGCAAATCACCAAGTGCATGCCAGGAACAGCAGAAGCCTCCTGCTCACAGCCCAGAGGCACGAGCTGCTTCTGTGCTGGGCTTCCTAGCGGAGCCTCCCTGGGCTCCCGGCTCATGTGATCGCCTTCTCCACGAAGCCCCTGCAGCTGCGTACCCCTTGTCCACCCGGAAGTGGAGCAGAGGCCACTGGTGCCACCGCCCACTGGGTCCCTCGGGGCTGAGAGCTGCAGGCTACTTCCTGGCGGAGTATTGGCTCCACGTCCAGCTGCAGACACACCGACCTGTCCACCTGTTCATCAGCGTTACACAGCTTCCCACCGCCAGCTCCCGCCCCACTGGACACGGTGATGGGAAACGTTTACTACTTCTTGAAACGTTATCACGATTCTGCTTACATCCTGCTTCCTGCTCTTCAATCAGCTTTGGGCTCATACTTGGTCTTTTCTTTTTTAAGCCATCGGCTAACTTTAGACTGAGGACTATGAATAGTTCTACTCCAAGCATTGTGTAGAAGTCTAGATAGTCTGGCCTTGGATAGATACCTCTGAATAGAATTTCTGGGGAAAACGCACAATGTATGCTTTGCTTTAAAAAAAAAAAAAAAAAAAAAAAGCACATCTGGGAGCCTCTTGATGGCGCGAAGGGGTAAGTCTCAGCATTAGGAAGCTCTCACCAGCCAGTGCTGCACGAGTTTAATCCCCACCCAGGGAGCTGCAGATCTCTCCTGCCTTACCCACTGCTCCCCTCAGCAGTGTGTTTCAGTAGATCCTTCTATTCTGCTCCCCACTCTGTCTGGTGAACCCTCCTATTCTTCGCCTCTGGCCTACACAGCAATTCTTGCATGCATAAATAAATAAATCTTTAAAAACAAACAGAAAAAAGATACTGCATGTCCCTTTTCCAGGGTGACTATAGCATCTCACAGAGTGAGAAAGTTTCCCCATATCCTCGCTGTTGCCTGGTATTGACAAGCTTTTAAATTTTAACTAACCTGGCAACAAGAAATAGTATCTCAGTCTTTTTTTTTTTTTTTTTGATTGAGATATAACGGACATAATGATACATTAACTTCCAAGGCACAACATGATGATTTGATGCTTCCATCGATTGTGAACTGATCATCCAGGGAGTCTGGTTAACATCCAGCACCACACAGTTCACACATTTTCTTTCTTGGAATAAATAGAGGACATTAAGATGTACAGTAGACGCTACAATATTGTTATTCCCTGTCAGGCATCATACCTCTGGGAATGATTTATTTCATCAACTGGGAGTTTGTACCTTTGGTCCCCTTCACCCACTTTGCACTGCCCCCCCCCCAACTGCCACCATACTAGGTTGATCCTAAAAATGAAAACGCCAGTATGTTTTACTATGCTGTGCTAATGTACAGATTATGTACTCAGAAACCTGAGCCTAGCCTTGGGTCGCTCACCTGGACCACACAAAGGAAATCTGAGAGGCATCTAGCTTGCCTTGTTGGGTGGTTGTTCGGAATGACAGCCTGTTAAGATTCCTGGATATTTGGACCATGACTTGTTTGAATAGAAAAATGTTTACTTTTCATTTTTAATGGATTCTCCACTTCTTAGCATATACTCCCACATCTTTCAGGCTCCCTGCTCCCCTAATTCCGTGCATTAAGTGGAATTCCCTCTCAACTCTTTCAAAGCTTTGCTACTGCCTGGACGGCCTCCAAGCTCCTCCCAAAGCTGGCCACCCAGACACCCCTTCACTGTGCTCTGAGGCATGTCCCTGGCTTCCCCCACCCCCTGGACTTCCGCTCAGATTTTTTTCATGTAGTTTGAGTATAGCTTCAAACAACTTTTGCATGAGAGGGTGTGGGAAGATAATCATCCTATGTCTTCACATGTCTAAAGAATGGCAGCCACACACAAAGCCCCCCATTGTCATATGATTCAGATTCAATTATGAATCAGCCACTGTTTTATCTCACATGTATTTTGAGTTCTGCTCTTTATCTTCGGTGTTTAGAAATTTCACAATAACATGTCTTCTATTTCACACAAAGGAAAGTAGAAGCAGCTAGAGAGGACAAGTTCCAGCTCACAAATCTCCACTTGCACACCCATTCATTCCGGGGAAAGGTCAAAAGCGCCTTTGTGCCGACGAACCCAGCCTTTCCTCAGCAATCTCATTGCTATCATTTCTTGGAGTATTTCATCCTCCATCTTTTCTCCTTTCATCTGAAATTCTATTCGTCAAGCAAAAAATGGACCCTCCATTTTCTCATCTCCATCTGTCCTTCGGCTGCGCAGTTTGGAAATCTCAGCTTTGTCTTTAGCGTTTTCCCGTGTTCCTTAATTTTAAACAATCATGTTTTTAATATTGAAGAAACTTGTCTTGTTCCCCAATGGCTCTATCTTTATACGTTTTATCTCATAAGTGCCATAGGTGAGGGCATAAATTAGATTTTATTTAAAAATCCCTTCTGTTCCCTGAATTAGTCATATTTTCTCCATGGCCACTTGCTCTACTGTCCACTCTGTCCTTTCTGTTACAGGCCCTTGCTTATCCAGGAAGCTATTTTGCAGACAGCTTTTCCTCCTCCAGGAGAGGAATGACCAGGAACTGCCCACTGAGGAGGGGAATCTGTGGACCAGCCTGCCTTTGCCCACCGGCTGATAGGTCTCTGGGAAGGACATACCAATTCAACGTTCTCCCAACTTCTGCCTGGGTGTGAAGCCAGGAACACGGTTGCTAGGCACCCACCCACCAACATTTTCTGTGGATGCCTTCCCCCCTTGCTTTCTGCTCATCACTGACTCATTCTTTGGAAATCTGGTCCCGTTTCGACTCCTACCTTCCCATCGCTCGATCTGCGTGTAGCTTTCTGGCCACAGTCTTAACTGCCCATCATTATTTCCTGAAATTTGTTAACAGCTCTGGACTGCCACTTCTCCCCAAAATGGATAATAAAGGCATATTATGAACACGGTTCCCAGTAAACAACTGTTCGACTTATATTCGAGGTCCAGGCCTGGTCCAGGCCTCTGACTTCCTTTTTAAAGTGTGGAGTCCTCACAGGCACTGTTGGGGTGCGCTTCTGTTAATAGGGCAGTCTAGCGTCTTTCACTCATATTGTTTCCATCTGCAGAAGCTCCAAGGTTTTGTCCTGCTCACACCTGTCAAACCACATCTCTCTCATTTTGCAATTCTGGGGTTAGCTGTTCTTGACCCAGGTGGACCCAGTAGGAAACTTTGTTCCTTGTCACATTCTATCTTCAGCCCATCGTGTCAACAGATCATGATTTTTTTTAAAGTTTTATTTATTTATGCAAACAGAACTAGGGTATGGGCCAGAGGTGCAGGGTGGGGGAGAGGTGAGCGGATTCACCAGAGACAGAGCAGGGAGAACAGGCAGATCGACAAAGTACACTGTTCAATGCAAGACAGGAGAGGTCTTCCGTGCCATGTGAGCCACCTCCCAGGCTGGGGATCGAACTCGTGCTGAAGTGGCTGTGGCTGGCTTCGCAGTGCTGCGCTTTAACCTGTTGCACCACTAGGGAGGGCCCAAATCATATTTGTTTAAATTCCAACATATTACCCAATATAGTTACCATCTCTCCTCCCTCTTGGCCTGTTCACACCCTGCCCTCTCTCATATCCTCTGCCTCCCCTAGGAGAGTTGTTTTGGTTAGAAGATTCCTGTCTTCAAACATGACCTTGAGCAGAGCCCAAAAGATAAAGCAGGTGAGGGTCACGCCCTCTCCATTGACCATCCTCTCTGGCGAGCCCTTGAAGCCACTTTTCCAAGCCAAACAGGCAGAGGTCAAGAATGGAGCCCTAAAGAGCCTTGACTTTGAAAACCTGAGAAGTGTGCCTGGGGGGAAAGCCTGGAAGCAGACCAGCAGGAGGATGGGGAAGCCCGGAGGAGGTGCCATCTCAGCTCAGCCATCGGGGACACAGCAGAAAGAAGCAGGAGAGCTTCCCACATGCAGACAACTTGCGAGAGAGTGGCCGGGAGGAGGGCACAACCAGCAAGACAGGACAGCAGCTGGAGGGTCCAGTCTGTCTCATCACGGTGTCCGTGTGTTGTGCCAGCACCTCTGCACCCCACCTTCTCACTGCCCAGAAACAAGGCCCAGCGCCCAGCCCCCCGTCTGTGTCCCCTCCCTCCTCTGAGAGAGCACCCTTCCCTTGATGCAGCAGTCTGACCACAGTGCACCAGATCCTCCCGACCCTAAGCCCAGCCCACGTTCCTTCCAAAGTGACCTGTGCTGAGCCCACAGTTTCGGACCTTCCCCATCGCGCTCTCCTATCTGCATCAGCAACCAGAGGTGCATCTCCTCGGGGGCTTTGATTTTAGCGCTCAGCACACTTTCCTTCTGGCAAAAACACATCCAGCAAAAAGCCAGCCACCTTAAATACCAAAGGTGCTTCTTCAGGCACATAAGGAACAGTGGGACAGCCCCATCTTCTCCAGCAGACAGCCAGGCCAGGCTGCGATGACTGACTGTGTGCATGGGTGTATGTGCACCAATGCATTATGCCTGTGTGTTGCATGCATGGTGTATGAGTGTGCCCGTGTGTGTGCATGTACCAACACACGTGTGCCAGTGTGCTCGCATGTGCGGTGTATGAGTGTGCACGGGCGTGCCCACACAGGTGAGTGGCCAGTGTGCCTGCTTGGGGACAAGGGGTGGCTTTAATATCTTTTCCAAACTCTGCTGTGAACTGCAGCCCCTGGGCAGCCTGGCACTCCCCACAGACAGCCAGGTCACAGAGAAGGAGAAGAAGCCCCCCACAGCAACCACCAAGGGAGGAAGAGGCAAAGGAAAAGGCAAGAAGAAAGGGAAAGGGAGAGAGGAGGTAGAGGAAGAAACTGACCCTCGGAAGATCGAGTTGCTGAACTGGGTAAGTGGAAAGTGGGCCTCAGGGAGGTCATGGAGCCGCGACCCCCTTTCTGCAGGGGAAGGGGCAGGTCTGGTCGTCTGCTTCAGCCCCTCCCAGGCCCCAACTCTGGCGGCGTCAAAGCGCCATGAGAGCGTCAGCGCTTCAGATGACACGTGTGCCCGAGGCAGTGTCAGGTTGACAGAAACGCCAACAGCTCTTGCCTTGGGGAGCACCACGGAAGGGGGCCCAAGGCATCTTAGAGCGACCCTTTCTTCCTTGATGCATGAAGATGTGGAAACAAAGCAATTACTGCCCAAGAAATGCAGTTTGGGGAACAAACATTTTTGAAGACATGGTGTAGTGTAGAGACCAAGCAGCGCCTGAGGTCCGCGGCCTCGCTGCTGTCGGGACACCTGGCGAACCAGGGCCGAGGCTCCTGGGGACAGGTCACTGGCGTTGCCCGGCCATTCTCTCGGGCGGCAGACTGCAGGCTCCCTCATCCCACCCGCTGCCACAGGTTACTCCTTGGTCACGAAACAAACTCGTGGGAGCACAAAACACCACTTTGGCGGTCATGTTTTAATCCTCTTCAGGTAAAAAGGAGAAGTCACTGGCAAACGTTCACATTTTGCTGGGGCATGTAGGAGCCACACAGCGAAGAAAGGGAGGGGAGATGAGACATGTTCATTCAAGACAAAGAGCATAGAGAACTCTGCAGAGAAGCCCCCAGGGGCAGGGAGGGAAAGACCTCACACCTTCCCACGCGCAGGGGCCAGGCCAGGGCGGCCCTCAGAGGCAACTCACGGGCTCCCTCTCCTGGCCGTGCAGGTGAATGCCCTGGAGCAAGCCATGCTGGATGCTTTAGTCTTGGATCGCGTTGACTTTGTGAAGCTCCTGATTGAAAATGGGGTGAACATGCAACACTTTCTTACCATCCCTCGACTGGAAGAGCTTTATAACACGGTGAGTGTTCTCGGAGGGAGGGCAGGAGGGAGCCGGCCATCTGAATATAAGTGTCACTGGAGCATGGGACATTTCCAGGGAATCAGTGAGCTTGGGCTCCTGGGCCCTGGGTGCCCCCTGGGAGCCCCTCCTTACTGCAGGCAGGATTGGTCCCTGCTGCTGGCCACACCTGGCCCACAGTCGCCCCCACACCGCAGACCTCTCCTCTGAAGTGCACTGACTCCAGTGTGTGCGTGAGGAACAGCTCATTAAAAAAAAGAAAATCCCATGTCATTAAGGAGCGTGAGATGTTGCCGAGGTGAACAGTCACTGGGACCCTGATTTTCTAATGCCTGTTCAGTGAAAAATGTACAAGTAAGTGTGACAGCCCAGAGCTCCATTACGTCAGAATGGCATTGTTTGAATAAAATCCTCTTGGCTACTATTATTACAATAAGAATCTTGAGAATTTCCACTTCCTTCCTCTTTCTAAATATTTAAGGAGCAGAAACTGCCCTCTCCCGTTGCGTGCTGACGCTTCGTGGTGGATTTTTCACACAATATTGTACATCATAGGAAGCTCTCTACAATGAGGCAGTGAAGATTTCATAGGGTGCCAGATCCTTCTTAGCCACAACTAGTTCTCTCATAAAAGAAACAGGTCAACAACAGGTTACGTTGCAGCACCCACATCTCATGAGGTCTAGTGAGTGGGGTAGCAGGTGGCTCCAGGAGTTGAAGAGAAAACATGTAACAAGGGCCGAACGCTTCTCTTTCAGAGACTGGGTCCACCGAGCACACTTCATCTGCTGGTGAGGGATGTAAAAAAGGTCAGTGTGCCGTTGTATAATCCTTACCTACGGTATCATTCAATTAGATTTTTTATGCATGTATTTATTTATGTGTACAGGAACTGGGGTACAGGCCAGACATGTGGGGGCTGATAGGATTCACCAGAGACAGAGTGGGGAACAGAACAGGCAGATGGATGAATTCCACTGCTGAAGGGAGCAGCGGAGAGACAGGAGAGGTCTGCGGCGCCATGTGGGTCACCTCCCTGGCCGGGGATCGAACTCAGTGCTGCAGTGGTTACAGAGAGCTTCCTAGTGCTGCGCTTTAATCCACTGCACCACCAGGGAGGGCCCCCAGTTAGACTTTTTTTTTTTTTTTTAAAGATTTATTTATTTGTACATACAGAACCGGGGTACAGGCTAGAGGCTCAGGGGCGGTGAGAGGCTTCACCAGAGATAGAGTGGGGAGCAGAACAGGCAGATCAACGAAGCACACCGCTGAGGGGAGCAGCGGGTGGGTCAGGAGAGGTCTGCCACACCATGTGGTCACCTCCGGGGCAGGCGGGAATCGAACTCATGCGGAAGCGGCTTTAGCTTCTCAGTGCAGTGCTTTAACCCGCTGCGCCACCAGGGAGGGCCCTAGACTTTTTTTTTAACAAAAGTTTATTTTTACATCATTTTGTACATTTTTTTCCCCATCTCAATTGTCATCCCCGCGGGTTTCCCATCACCAAGTCACCCGTGTGCCACCACCATAATCCCGTGCATTTCCCTCCCCACCCCCACCCCGTTTTTGAATTCCTCTCTCCAGAAAAGTTTATTTAAAACTAAAAGTAATAGTTTTTTAAAGTTTCTTGTTGCTCCCCACATACAATAGGCTGTGCTGATGCCTGGTTGGCCCCATTGCAAGGCCAGGAGCAGCAGCCAGGAAGTTGCCGCCTCAGGCTTCCTGGGCCTCCCTCTGTCCGCGCATCCTCATGTTCAGATCCACACTGCGCTCTGCCACCCACACCTTCGCGGCACCTTTTCGCAGAAGTACTAGCAGGATGTGGCTCATGTCACTCTACATTTTGGGGATTAAAGCTATTGTTCCTCCTCTGTTCCCTTACTAGTAAGCGCTAGAAGTTTCCCTTTCTTTCTACTGCCACTTCTTGGAGGCGGTGTTCTTGTGAATCTAGCCCATCCAGTCATGTTTCCACAGGCGAGAGGATTAGATTGGGTTAAAGCAAGAGTGATTCATCTCGTTAGCATGCACCCCTGGCATGAAGAGTGTGGGACATGTCTTCACAGTCTGAGCAAGAGAGAAAACAACTCAGATGAGAGAAGCGCGTTTTCAGAGTCCTGAGCATCCAGGTCGTGTTTCATACACATATCTAGTTCCAGTAGTTGGGGATTTGGCTTCTATAGACACTCACTGGCTCAGGACAGAATCAGGAATCTTATTTCCCCGATATCTTGGATTAGGCTGAGCAAACATTAAAAGCTACAGCTACCCAAATTCAGGCCCAACCATTTCTCACCCAATGGCTTCAGTCATCCTCCTCTGCCTCCATTCTTACTCCTTCCCACCATTCCCAGTTACAGGACCCCAGCCCCCTCCTGTCCCTACAGTCCTCCAAGTCTCATGAAGTTCAAGCTCCTCCTAAGAAGCCTCAACCTACTGGAACCACCCTGTCCCACGCCACCCCCACCCCTAGCTATCGAGGCAGCCTTTCTCCCCCTCCTGCCATCCACGAGGAGTTGGGGGCCCTAGCATGCTGCTGCCAGGGGGTCGTGGGGGCTCACCCCTCTCCCCAGAAGCAGTAGGCTCCCTAGAGCAGACCAGTATCTCCTTTAGCTCTGTGGTTGGAATCCCCAATGTGGTCACAGATCACAGCAGGGGCCAAAGAAACTAATGCCAAGTGCAGGGGCTGGTCAATGCTACTCCTTTTATAAAGGGGGGGCACCGGACATGTTACCAGATGGCCCCAGGTTACCACCATCCTTTGAGCCATATGAAATGAACAAAGCGATACATGGCTTACAGCAGCGAAGCCTACATGTCACTGCCCAGCTGGGAGAAGCCAGCGACCTGGGCCATGAATTACAAACAGACAAGTACCTGGATAGCCTCTCCTCAGACTCTTCCTTCCTCCCCACAGACCTGCGCTCGCTTCCATTTTAGTACAAAGCTCTGTCACTCCTTGTCTCCCAGTTATAACACAGTCTGTGATGTTTGTGTCCTAACTGAAATGGAGGGGTGTCTCCCAGAAAGGCACAGGGTACCCATGCAACACCTTCATTAGGAAAGTCCCAGGGGGCAGTGGGGTGGGGTGGGCTGGATCCAATTTCCATGGCCACTTCCTCCTTCTGCAGGAAATCTAAACTCCAGCCCCTCGAAGCTGGCTTCTCCCCCTCAAGCTGCTATAAGAGAACCTTAGCTCCTTCAGGAAGCCTCACACCTGCTGGGCATTGGTGGCTTCACCTTTACCCACTGAGTCCATGAACCTGCCCAGCTCTCCACCTATAGCTTTATGGGTTCCTTTTTTTTTTTTTTAAAGATTTATTTATTTGTACATACAGAACTGGGGTACAGGCCAGAGGCTCAGGGGCGGTGAGAGGCTTCACCAGGGTCAGAGTGGGGAGCAGAACAGGCAGATCTATGGAGTACACTGCTGAGGGGAGCAGCGGGTGGTCAGGAGAGGTCTGCCGCGCCATGTGGTCACCTCTGGGGCAGGCGGGGATCGAACTCATGCGGAAGCGGCTTTAGCTTCTCAGTGCAGTGCTTTAACCCGCTGCGCCACCAGGGAGGGCCAGCTTTATGGGTTCTTAACCCTGCTCATTGGGAAAGTTTATTTCATTCTCTAAAACATGGCTTAACCCACCGTTCCAATCAATTATATGGTAGGAACAGGCCGACTGCTGTTTCCCATCCTGTCAGTAACGCCCAGGTGGGGGCTGGCTTTAGGTCTGTTATGTCTGAGGTGCATGAGTGATGTCCACACAGCGAACACATTCTTCCAGGGGCTGAGACGTGGCCTTTTTTCTTACAGAGCAACCTTCCGCCCGATTACCACATCAGCCTCATCGACATAGGGCTTGTGCTGGAGTACCTCATGGGAGGCGCCTACCGCTGCAGCTACACTCGGAAGAGCTTCCGGACCCTTTACAACAACTTGTTTGGACCCAAGAGGGTAGAGCTCAATGAACATGTGGTGTTTTGTGCTTCCTGGAGTCACCTGTGCTTCCTTGCTGTCTTTCCCGATGACTCGGTCTGCTCTAAACACCCTCTCCACGCATACAGGCCCTTTCTCCTGCTGCAGCTCTCAGGTGTGAGGTCTCGGGCCCTGCACGATGCCCCAGCTTCAGTGACAGCCCCTTTCCTGCACCCTGTAATGAGGGGGGCACCACAGCTCATCAACTGCACCTACCCTCAGTCTTTGTCCACATTAGCTTTGTCCTGTGCTTCTGTGTCTCTGACTGACCCTCCTACTCCCTCAGCGACCTGACCTTTCCAAGCTAGGAACATCACTGCTCCAGGGCCGCTTCCGCCTGACAAGCCACCAGCAAGCTCATTCTCACACTCTCGGCTAGGGTTTCAACAGCCCCGCCCAAGCCTACCCTACACTAACATGGAAGACAACAGGCCTCAGCCAAAATCAAGTCCTATTACTAAATGCCCACTCTGTTTCCCGGTTCAAAATCGTATGCTTATCACAGATAAACTCAAAGTGAGGCCTGTCAGGAAGACCCCACTTACAGCCCCAAAACGTTCTGCCAGATTTCTCTCAGTTTACCTGGAGTCAGAGTGCAGTGTCTGCGTCTGCTTCTCAACTGACTTTCACTGACAAAAGAAAGTTTCCAAATTCAAGTATTTGCTTTCCTTGGATATTTTCTTTAATTATAAAGTACTTGTTCATCTGTTATGTCTCCTACTAACAATAATACTAATGTACTACTAAAGTACTAGAGCTAACATCAGTTATCTGAAGAAATTGATCCTTTTCTCTTTCTTTATTATGCAGCCTAAAGTTCTTAAACTTCTGGGAATGGAAGTAAGTAGGATTTGTGACTAATAGTTTTTGATTGCTTGCTTAAATCTGTGTCGTCCTCTTCTGTTTGATTTGTTTGACATAAAATTGAATGACTTTGTTTTCCATGCATCAATCTACTCTACCAAAATTTATTCAGGTGATTTAGTCAAATTATGCAAAAGGATTAAATTTATCTTTTAAAAGGTGTAACCCAACGCCTTTTATAGAGTTTGCAAAGCCATTCAAAGCCAAGATTAAATAGCAAAGCAAATGAAAAAAATGCCACCTGTGCACAAAAATCATATATAATAGCAGAAGAAATTCAACAGACTGTCTTAAGGTCTAAACAAGTGCTTGGTCTTCTAATAATGCAAATTAATACAATGGTAAGCAGTTAATATATTGCATCATATCAATAAATCATAGAAGAAAAATTTAGGACATGATCATTTTTTAATAGAGGCTAGAGAAGAATCATAAACATTTAAAAGAAGTTGGCCTATTAAAAAAAGACTGATAAAGTGAATACTAGAATAAAAAATACTCCAATATGATTAAAATATATGTATATCTTCAAGCAGGAGAAAATCAATTACTGAGTTATTTCTATAAATATCTAGAAGACAAACACTCGCATTATCATCGGCTTATAGTTCTCCCTGTTTGTTTTTTAAGAGTTATGGAAACTACTGCATGAAACAGGAATAAATGTTGAAGAAAATATGCCCAAAAGGCAGAGAAAATAATTATTGCCAAATTGATGCAAAGTATAAGATTTTATTTGAGGTGATATTAGGACTGCAGCCCAGGAATACAGATTCAAGAATATACTGAATTATGTTCGGAGTTGCCTTGAGAAACTCAGAACGCAGATGGAACAGTCATCTCCCTCTGCTACGCAAGTTAGGCAATAGCTAGTCAGATCAAGTGAGGGGAGCAGTCATATGCAATCTGCAGGTTAGGTGACAGTTTTGTCAAGTAGTGATTGGTGTAGTGATATGCAGTGTGCAAATGTAGTGAAAGCGTGTCGAGTCATGATTGGTTCCATCCCAGGGGCGCGGGGTCTGGCCTGCCATTGCTTCATCCAAGAAGGGGCAGGCTGGCTGTGTCCTTGCTCTTTAGAGGTGCCCTGCAGCCTGATTCTCAGTAACTCCACAACCATTTCAGTTACCAGCCTCAAATGACTTCATTATGGCCTTCGTTTCTTGTCACTGCTGAGAGATAGGTTTTCCTTCTTTCAGTTCCAGTTCTTAAAACCCTGTGTTACACATTGAGAGCAAAACTCAAGGAAATGGGCTTGTTTCCTGTCAGGATGATGAGCCTCCAGCGAAAGGGAAGAAAAAGAAAAAGAAGAAAAAGGAGGAAGAAGTGGACATCGACGTGGATGATCCCGCTGTGAGCCGTTTCCGGCACCCCTTCCATGAGCTGCTGCTGTGGGCGGTGCTGATGAAACGCCAAAAGATGGCGGTCTTCCTCTGGCAGCGGGGAGAGGAGAGCATGGCCAAGGCCCTGGTGGCCTGTAAGCTCTACAAGGCCATGGCCCACGAGTCCTCTGAGAGTGAGCTGGTGGACGACATCTCCCAGGACCTGGACAACAATTCAAAGTTAGTGTGGGGGTGTGCAAGAGTGGGGGGTGATGTGAGGAGCCAGGAGAAACTATTGTCATGAGTACCTGTCCCTTTGGGAGCCGGGGTGGGTGGCCAAGGTCCTCACCGAAATTCAATGATGTTTAATTAAAGCTCCTTCATAAATCTCTTTGTCCATTATGTCAGCACGTCCCCTTGAGTCTCTCTGAGAAGTCTCTGGACTGTTGTTTTAGTTTAGTGCCTTCTGGTGTGAATTGTTCAGACACACTTTTAATGCCAAGGCAATAAAATACATTTCCATAAGGAGACAAAGACTCAAGAGGGTTACAGCTTTTGTAAACCTGTGCCCTTAGACTTGACAAGTACCTCTCAGGTTTCCTCCCCCTTAGGTGAGACAAGATGATGGCGGGGGCCTGGAGTTGGTTATTTACCTTTTCTAAGCCAGCTAGATTCTGATAATAACCCCAATAGGTCAGGTTTTGGTTAACTAGTGTCTCTTGAAGTTTCTCCTAAGGTCAGACCATCTTAAGAACAGGGACTCTGGTGTATGCTTCCTTTTCCCCTCCCCACCCCCAGCCGCATCAAGGGATTTTTCTCCCATCTCCCTCCTGAGAACTTGGCGGAGCTCCTGGAGGTAAAAATCACAGAAGTGTGGGCACACCCACCTGAAAGTGGGTAGCCCAGAAGTTATTAACTCTCAGGCTTGTTCTGACTAAGCCTCCAATAATTTGTCAATTGCAATTCAGGTTTTTCTACCCGGCCCTTGTCCCCAGAAAGGATTGTACTCATGGATGTCTACTCCATGAAGTTAGATTCTTTGTGCCTCTTGCCTCTTAGAATCTAGAATAGTTGATAATTTTGAGTTTGTTCAGGTTTCCTTGTTGCTAGGAGTGAGTGTTGATTGCCAGTGCCGTCATGTGTACAACCAGAAACCAGCAATCCCAGTATAAATGTATAGACACATGAACTTGAGACATATACAGACAATTCTGCAAACATCTGACATCTTTGCCTTCTGAAGCATGATGCTTTTAGTTTAGATTTAGTGGTTTCTAAAATCAGAAGCTGTTTTTTTTTCCAATAAATTTTTATTGACATGACATTATGATTTATAAACATCAGTAATTCGAGGCTGTCTAGATATGGGGAGGTGTCCCCAGCTTCCATGAGCTGGTAAATGAGGCCCTTCTGCTCTCTAGAGGACTCAGCAAGTGATCTGTCACCCCACAGCCAGCAGGACCCCAGACCAGAGGGTACTACACAGAGCATCCCTCTTCGGCAACAGAGAATACTGTTCCCCTGCACAACATCCCTCCCTTCTTCATTCTTCAATTCAGAATTAAAATAAAGCCTCTATAAAAATTGAAAAGCAGAAATACCATGGGCCTCTATCCTAACTTTATCTCATGAAAAAATGTTGAAGGAACAGTAATGTTGATGACTGTCATTATATATCTGAATCAGGACCATGCAGGACAGGGAGTCCGTTTTATAGCCCTAAGTCAGCGTGTGAACCTTCTCCATCCTCTCCCTTGGGCTTTCATCACTTCCCCACCTCCAGCAGTTAGGCCCTCCCTGACCTGGGCCCCCATTACACTCAACCTTGTCTCTGTCGTGTAGCACTGATGATTCAATTCTCCTGGAATCCATGAATTATTGAAGTTGTAAGACAGATATGTTGAAAGACACATACAGTCCTACACATACAGCCTGGTGACTTCACAAGCGAGACGCACCAGGAAGAGCAGACCCAGATCAAGAACAGCACCATGCCTGTCCTGCTGGCCCTCCTGGTGTCCCCTGTCCCTGTCCACCTCCTTCTCCACCAAAGGGGGCACTATTCTGGCTTCCAGGCACAGAGGGGTTTGGTTTCAGACTCACCTTCGCCATCTTTTCTGTCTGCCGCCCACCCCCATCCCCCCACCCCGTCTTGGTGGGCAGATTGGGATCAAGCTGAAACTCCATCTGCTGCAAGAACAGTCACCCCACTATGACTGAGCCTGGGGCCTTGATCCCAGCTGTCGCCATCTGGGGACCTACCCCCAGTTTCCTACTTTCAGGAAACCCCCAGTTTCCTGCTTGCTGATGGTTAGAAATCAAAGCTTGTGCCCTGTCTCTCCACGTTGTCCCTGTGGACATGTCCCTCCAATGAAGGGCAGTGGACACCACAGCCTCATCCCAGCTTCTGTTCCTTCCCCTTCAGAGACTTTGGCCAGCTGGCTGTGGAACTGTTAGACCAGTCCTACAAGCACGATGAGCAGATCGCCATGAAACTGCTGACCTATGAGCTGAAAAACTGGAGCAACTCCACCTGCCTCAAGCTGGCTGTTGCCGCTAAACACCGGGACTTCATTGCTCACACCTGCAGCCAGATGCTGCTGACTGACATGTGGATGGGAAGACTTAGAATGAGGAAGAATCCTGGCCTGAAGGTATGCATGAGATGGCTGTCAGGTAGGTAGGGACAGCATAGTAACCAGGGACTTCTGTTATGGCCACAAGCCTTGTTTTATAAATGGTGAAGTTCCAGCTCTCAGATGATATAACTTGCCTACGATCTGGGGGTCCAGAACCCAGTTCCAGGTGGTCTAAGCCAGAGTCTGACCTGACCGTTGCCTAGTTTATGAGCTCAGAATCCATCCTCACTCACCATGTACCTGTGTTTGAGTCATCAACTCACCATTAAAGCAGGAGTCTGGACCCAATTTCTATAGATTCTTCCACAACTATGAAATCATGTGATATTATTTTAACTGATGATGCTTTTATCACATGGGGTTTATGAGACAGTGTGAAGCTATGAAAGAGTTTAAAAAAGGATGAAGTGAGGAGAAAATTGTTTTGCAATCATATCCTCAAGCTGCTTTTTAATTCTGTTAACTAGGAGGCTATCTTGGGAAGATATTCTAATCCTCAGACAAACTAGACAATATGGTACCTACTTGTACCATATTATACCTAGCTCATGGGATAGGAAAAGATATTATATGCTATACCCCATAGGATGATTTTAGCAAATAGAAGGCACTCCATTTCTTAAAAATATGAATCTTATGCCCAGCTGCCCAAGTCTACATATGTGCTAAGCTAATATATATAACTTTGGATATTAATAATGAAAAAGTGTTTAATATACCAAGAATAGTGAGAAGATCCTACAGTTCTCAGGGAAATGAAATAGGTTACCTACAAAAGTATAAGCATCAAACTTTTCATCAGTAGTACTGAAACCTAAGCGCATTGGATCAAGGCCTTTACCATCCTGAGGGGAAATAACTTTTTCACCTAATCCAGTTCATTTTAAAATATGAGGCTAGACCAGTTCACAGAGGCAATGTTTAAAATATACACTTTCTACATACCCATTCAGAAAAACTGCTTGAGTGGGTATTCCATCAACTGAAAGGCAAAAATTACAAGAAAAAAAGGTATGATGTGAAATGCGAGAAACAAGCCCAACATTTAAAAATTTCCTCTAGGAAAGCTTGATGAAAAGGGGGGCAGATGACGTGAGTACAGGGCTCAGTGAGGTCTAGGATGAAGGTACGGAGAGCAAGAATGCGTCCAGTAGACAGGTGGAATGACTAAGGAGGCACTAAGCCTCAGAGAAACAAAACCAGAAAGTAGTGGGGAAACCACTAATTTCAGCAAAAACAGAAAAAACAGAAAACTGCACACAAAAGTTAGATTCGGTTATGATTCAAATTAAAATTTGGAACAAATGAGGCAATCTGTAGAATGCAAAAAGACCTCTTGGCCTTTGATACCAAGAACATTCCTGCATCCTAGTGGACAGTTCTCCAGCAATTCAGCCACACTTCAGGCCTCATCTTGAAGTGAGTTTGCTCTTGGAAAAACGTTGCTGGTTGTGTTTCTCCACCCACGGGTCCATGACCTTCAACTGGTAAAAGCCTGTGATACCGCTGATGTGCCATAAAGCAAAGCTCAAATAAGTGAGATAAACCTGTTCCAGTTTCCTTTTTGCATTTGAATCGATTCTATTTCCTTGTTTGGGCTGTTCACATACCTGTTACATACGTTTTAATTACTGATGTTTATGGTATCATTTTTGGTAGATGATAGAAATGGGCCTTTTCTGTTGTCCTTAACAATAACTTACTGAGGGAAATTTTCTAGAAGTCAACATCACCAGATAATGGAAGTAGGTTTCAGTACTAGTGACACACAGTCTCACAGTTATAAAAATGTCATCAAGACTGTCCATCTGTAGGCCAGGACAAACTTTTGCTGTACTGGCTGAGTTAAGTGCTTTGGTTGTGAGACAGATTTGTCTTCCAACTCTCGGTCAAAAGTCACATTTACCCCTAAGTGGTTTCTATGTAAACTGTGTTTGGTCTCTTCACTAGAGGTGTCATTATATGTTATTTATTTTTTAATTTGTATTATTAATTTTTAATTTAAAATTTTACATGCTTTGCAACTTAAGGTAAGACCTTTGCTATAAAAGCCAGCATTTTACACAATGCTATTGGTAATTCATGTTTAAAAATTGGTGTTTGTTTGTAAACTCTCCATTGTCTACAATTCTACCAAGATACCAAACCAGATAAGACACAGAATTTGAGAGCAGAGTGCTGGAGCTGATCATTTACTGACTGATGTTGAAGGCTGCAATTCGGAAATTTTACCTACAACTGGGCATTTTTACCCGAGAATTGCCATAACTTAGCAATCCCTAATTTCTCATCAACTCTAGGTTATAATGGGAATTCTTATCCCTCCCACCATCTTGTTCTTGGAATTTCGACCTTATGATGACTTCTCGTATCAAACATCCAAGGAAAACGAGGACGGCAAAGAAAGAGAAGACGAGAATGTGGTCAGTGTTACCCTTAATCATAAAAGTGCACTCTCACTTTCAGACTCATTGTGATGCCTCTTCCCATGAATGTTGCAACCTCAGTAACTGGGGGATTTTTCAGTTTTATTTATTTATTTATAATTTTTTTTTTATTCATACGGATCTGTGGTACAGGCGAGAGAGAGGTACAGGGGTGGTGAGAGGATTCACCAGAGACAGAGTGGGGAGCAGAACAGGCTGAATGATGAAGTACACTGCTGAGGGGAGCAGCGGGCTGGTCAGGAGAGGTCTGCTGCACCCTGTGGCCACCTCCAGGGCTGGTGGGAATTGAACTCATGCAGAGGTGGCTTTAGCTTCTTAGTGCTGTGCTTTAACCTGCTGCACCACCAGGGAGGGCCGGATTTTTCAGTTTTAAAGGTGCTTGTCTTAAATGTGCTGGTGTGTGTTACATTTTCCATTTAGCAGCCTGCTTGTCGTATGCTGTGTTTTATAGGATGCAAATGCAGATGCTGGCTCAAGAAAGGGGGATGAGGAGAATGAACACAAGAAGCAAAAAAGCATCCCCATTGGAACAAAGATCTGTGAATTTTATAACGCTCCCATTGTCAAGTTCTGGTTTTACACGGTGAGGTCCCCTTTTTAGCATTTGCCATTTAGCATGTTTGAACATTTAGAGTTTAGAATCGAGAAAAATGTCAAGGGCTTTAAAAAGTATTTTAAAAGTCACTGAATTAAAATGAATTTTGAAAATGAAACTGAAACCAGTTGAGGTTTTTAACTAAAATTGATAAAGCTTTCTTGTCCTGTATTCCTATGTATGTAGGAAAGGGCTTATCCTCGTCCTAAATATGCCATTTTTTAAAGTAAATAAGCAAGTTCTATTTGTTTAAGATGAAGGATTTTTAAAGTGTCTTTAGTAATACAAATGGAGTGAAATGTAGTTTCATTTAAAAATGAACAAAGAGGACTAGTGATTTAAAGGGCAAACTCAAAGGTGCCATTTTCATGCAAGAATGTAGTTGAACCCAGACCTTAAAGTCTATAAGCAGTCGCAGCAGGGTACTCTGTGGCTCCCCAAACCATGCAGTCTGGGGGAGGGACTAGGTTGCTCAAGCAGTGAACCCCTTCCCACACCAGCTGTGTCCTGGCCCTGTCGTGCCATTCCTGACTGGATACAGGTTAGTGATGACACGTGAAGAGCTAAGCCCAGGGTCATGGACAGAGCAATCAGTGCAGGTGAGCAGGGAGGGGGCAAGGGTGAATCTCTGTGAATTGGTATCTGGAGGGCATAAGGACCCAGGTCAACAGTGGGCCTGGACACCCTAGGGACATGGCCAAAGCTGCTTCTGCCTCTCTGTCCTGATGAAACCCAGCACAAAGGTCAGGTCTCTCACCTGGGCTTTACCCTGGACCCTCTGGGTGCTATCTTGGGCTTGGGGAAGGATGGGTTCATATGACAACTTCCCAGGCGATTCTGATGCAGTCCAAGGTGAGAACTCAGCTTTAATCCCCCTACAGGAAACACTGAATACAAGGAATTTTACCTGTCTCCTAATAAAGCTTATACAACCAGGAAGGTCTATCTTTAAAATAAAAAACTGGCAAATCATAAATACAGTTGCTAGCACACTGTCCCTGCAGACCACAGAAGCAGCTCACACCAGTAAGGGGTCCTGAAGCTGAAGATTCAGCAGCCTCATGGTAAATCTACTTCAATCAGCTTAAGACACCTCACCCCCCCCCCTCCACCTCCAAACTCTGTGTCTTTCCTTGCCACAAACACAGGATGTGTCAGAGACATGCCAGCACGAATTAGGGAGATTTGGAATGGCTCTGTGTGCCTGGCACACATCTCGTTCGTTGTCCTCCTCTGCCCTCCCACATGATGCAGAAAAGTGAACTTTCAAAAAGGAAATCTGTGTGTTTTGGAGGCATAAGTAACATTTCCCAATTTCCAGGAATATAGAAGACACACCAGTAAACTATTAGAAACTCCATTTATCATAATTTAGTGCCACTTCATAATTTCTCCAAGAAGGTGACAGTAGCAACAGATTTATCTTCACTTAGAAAAATGAAATGCCAGTGCTCCCATCAAGCTCATTCTTAGCCCTGGTGAGGCAAGTGGAAACTTCCTTGAAATGAAATAGTCAAGTTGGAAATGCAAATTTGATTTAGAAAACACATCAACCCAAAAATTAGGTTTCTAGGCTTTTACCAGCAATGCCACCTCCCCAAGCACTGTACCTGCTGTTCTGTCTTGCAGATATCATACTTGGGGTACCTGCTGCTCTTCAACTACATCATCCTGGTGCGGATGGACCGCTGGCCATGTTTCCAGGAGTGGATTGTCATCTCCTACATCCTGAGTCTGGCCTTAGAGAAAGTCCGAGAGGTACTGACTCTGAAACCCCTCTCAGTCCCACCAATCACTGACTTCAATTCAGGTACAGCTTCTTGTTGCAAAAACATCTCCCACAAACCCTGAGTGCTCAGAGCTTTCATTTTCAGGCATCACCATCCCAAGTCTGTTCCGTCATTTTCTTTGAGATCTACATACCTTCTATTTCCAACTGAACTTGGACTTACAAGTCAAAACACAAGACAAAAAACCATATTTTAATGGCTAAAAAAGCAATACAAACAAACAAAAAACCCCAATGGTGATTTTGAAAGGGTAATATCTCAAAGAGGAGAAAGTTAAGTTCATTTTGCCCTTTTGCCCTTGACTTCTGACATCTAAGTTACCAAGGAATTTTGCAGAACAGCTATCACTTAACCCCATTCTGTCACCTCTGGTAGGGAAACTTCCCTTCTGTGGAACCACATGATCTCTGCTGCTGAGTTTTCCACCTGGACTAACTCTAGTGCATGGGCTAACAGGCCATGTCCGAGAATCAGAAAAGAAGTCAAAAAGCAGCTGCTTTCATTACAACCAGAAGGACATAATTTCAAAGGCATTTCCTGAGAGTTTGTGAAACACTGAATCTAGGGATACAGACGATTCCATGGAATTTCCCTTTCTAGATATCTTTCTGTGCCCGAGATTAGTTTTTAGAGCAGGAAATGGGACCAGATGCCCTGGAATGTTCCATCAGTCCCATCTTTTCCAAGATTCTAAGAAGATGAGACTGCCAACCTAACACTCCCTACTTATTATTCTTTGGTATTTGTTTTCAGATCCTCATGTCAGAACCAGGCAAACTCAGCCAGAAAATCAAAGTCTGGCTTCAGGAGTACTGGAACATCACAGACCTGGTGGCCATTGCCACCTTCATGATTGGGGCCATCCTACGACTGCAGAAGCAGCCGTACATGGGCTATGGCCGAGTGATCTACTGCCTGGATATCATCTTCTGGTACATCCGTGTCCTGGACATCTTTGGTGTCAACAAGTACCTGGGGCCCTATGTGATGATGATCGGGAAGATGGTGAGTACTGTCCACTGCAGTTATGGTTAGGGCCTGCAACCAGGCTTGGGTGACTTCAGTAGATTTCACCTCCTCAGCCCTTAGACAGCTGATTTCTAACAGATCTTAGCTTTAAGACACACGTCTACTACATGCTGATAACTTAATGAAGACCAGCTGACAAAAATATGCTAAGGTCTACTGTATATTTAAGCATTACATAGATAGGGCACTCACCTAGCTAAAAACCTACAAACAGAAACACAGAGGGCCCACGGTCATTCCTCAGCTGTCCCCAAACTCAATTCATGTGCTCTGGCCGGAGTGGGCACGGGCAACTTGTATGATTCGCTCAAGACAAATCCATGACAGCATTACTACAGAACAGAATATGAAACTAAAAAACAAACTTGCAAATCAGCCCAATGTCACCTAAATGTTTAGTAATAGCCAGTGTTAGGACTAGTCCCAGAAGAAAGGAAACCTCATACATTTAGGAGTAATTATTTATAGGGCAAGAGACTGTGAGCAAAAGGGTATGGTTTAGCTTATCTCAGTTTGGGCCCACTTCTTCAGGGATATGCTCATGAAGGCTCATGCCATCTCGGTAGCCATAGTAACCAGGGCACCCCTAAGTGTAACCACTCAGTACCTGTGTGATGATGGCCAGTGATGTTGTACTCCTGAGTCTTTATCTTGTCGTTTCCTTGAAAATCTCCTCTCACTCTTAGTTTCTCTTACAAATCCCCATCTTGGTCCCCTTCCTGGTAGGGGATTGAACTACCTGCAGTGGCTGCAGATAGCTTCATAGTGCAGTGCTTTGACCCCTCGGGCCATCAGGGAGGCCCGTGATTAGCTATTTGAAAGCAATCTCATTCATAGCAGTGCAATTTCAAAGTAAGTTCTGACTAAGATGGTATAAAAATGCATTTTTATATATCAAATTCCTAAATTATAAATATTCCAATATTAGGTGACTTCTTTTAAAAGCATGAACATGGCTTATGGAAATGATTTCTCTACAAATAAAAATAATTTATACTAGAAAACTAATTTTAATTTTTCTACAAGAAGTAGGATTATGTTATTTAAAATAAAGAGCATAGTAATGTTTCTCAAATATGTGTAAAAGTTCATAAAATATCCCCATCTCTTCCATAATTATTCCCTATCTCATGATCAGTTAGAGATACTATATTTGTTTATGGATAACACTAGAGGAGAAGTGGGCAGGACTAGGAGCAGGAGATGAGCAGAGTGATGGTATAGAGTAAGACATACACATATTATGGAATCAGAAAACTAGTCATCATCTTGGATGGGAGAGGAGAAGGGAAAGAGGCTTTCTTAAGTAAGCACTCACGATGTCTCTGGGGAGGCAACACCACAAGCAAGCTTGACTGCAAGTCAAGACAGTGAAGGACACTTCCCCTCCACGCAGATGATTGACATGCTGTACTTCGTGGTCATCATGCTGGTGGTGCTGATGAGCTTTGGAGTAGCCCGTCAAGCCATTTTGCACCCCGATGAGGAACCTTCTTGGAAACTGGCCAGAAACATCTTCTACATGCCCTACTGGATGATCTACGGAGAGGTGTTTGCAGACCAGATAGACCGTAAGAATAGAATTGATAGTAAGATTCTCTTCCCTGCTTCTGAGGAAGATGATCATTTCCAAATTAATAGAAAAGTATGTATTAATTTGGAAATAGAGTAGTTTTCACTCTGCCATAAGCTTCAAATTATTTTATGAAGAAATAAATAGATGACGAAATGGACATTTTGAGACATCAGTCATTTCTTCTACTCAAAAATCCACTTCCTGGAATTCTGAGGTCCTCATGCCTGTTTAGCTGCATCGGATGGACATTCTCAAGAATGTCATTACAATGCCAATTTCCTAATTTTTCTTCAACCTAAATCTTTTCCCATCCCCAAAGCAGAGCTGTTGGTATCCCAGGAGAAGGACATGGTGAGCACGGAAGAACTCTGGCGTGCCTTGTCCTGCTCTCCTTCAAGTCACCACTTTCTAACACATGCAGATGTATAGCCCACTGCACCCCAGCCCTGGCCTGCCCCTCAGAGGACTAGGTTGGGCTGCTGTCCTGGTCCCAACATTCCACGGTGGGGGTTCAGTCACTGAAAGGCTCCTCGTAACTGCCCTGTCATGGAGCCCACTATGTATCCTGGTCACCCCTGTCAATGCCTGCTTCACCACATGTTCTTCTCTCGGCCAAGCAGAAATATAGTGCCCAACCCCCCCGCCAGCAGCAGGCATGCATGCACATCATCACACATCTATCTCCTTCCAGCCCAGTGTTCTGGCACATCTGTAGAACCTGTCAGAAGCAACTCCTAGTGCTTCGATTTAGTGAGAAGACACTCAGCCCTGTTTTGCACTTTCCTGCCTCTTTAAAAGTAAAAATCTCTACAGCCAGGAGTGGTGAGTGTACAAGGTGGAAAATGGAGCCCTCTTCATCCTTCAGGATGGAGCACCATTAGGATGCAGCCCAGATCATATTATGTCCACACTGTGTACATCACGTGCACAGCAAGTGCATATAGTGCACACATCACATTCACAACACGTGGCACGCACAGATGACCACAGTGAACAGTAGACACACAGAGGCACCAACTCTCCATCCCAGTGGAATGAAGGTGAACGAGACCACAGAGAAGGGACAGATACCGTAACAAGCCATCCCGAAAAGATGGATGCAGAGAACTGCCCAGGGAAGTTTCTAGAAGGTGGCCAGAGCGCCTGCAAAGGAAACCTTATTTTAAATGTTTTCATTACAAATAAAAGAGAATAGAAAAATTATGAATTGGCAAAGAAAAAATATTGTAGCCTATAACCATAATTTCTTTTTCATTACCGGAGATTTTTGGTTTTGTTTTTAACCAACAATAATCTGAATGTTAGCAGGAGAATTGAGCTGCAACCCTGTGTGGATCTGGGAGGAATGTAGTTCTTCCCCAGGCTAAGCTGGCTGGTCAGAGTCTCTTGTGTGTAGGGAAGTGAAATTCAGATGGTCTTGTTTATTTTTGCCTGGACAGTTAATGCACCATAAATGAACAAGATTCTTAAGTACTATTTCACATCAGCACCAATATTTTCATTTGCATGGTGTGTTCTGTCATAAAGCACCAGAACCAATGATATATCTACTGCTTTCAATGCTCTGCTTCTTTGGGACTAGAAGATTTTACCCACCACCCCCCCGCCCCCCCAACCTTGTATTAAGCACAGCATTGTTGATACAACTGCTGTCACTAGGTCAGACTGATTAGTATTACAATTCCTAGCTTTTATAACACAATTCTGAACATGTTATTATCACAAGTATCTCAAAGTCTATTATTGGGTGTGTTTATAACTTCATAAACTAGAACATGAAAATCCATATGTATTTCTTTGTTCTGTAACAGAATTGACTAAGTGATCTCACTAAAATTCTATTAGACTGAGGAAAATCTTATTTGACTTCTAAATTAGATTAGCTTAGGTAAGTAGTAAATATATGCTAAATATCCCTGGAGGTAAACATACCTTGTAATATTAGTTTACAGTTTTTATTAAGTTGAATGAGAAAAGATAAAGAGGTTTACTTGAAGCATTATGTATTATTTTCAGCAATACCATTAACAGAAGTATTTGATTATTGATCCAATTGTTATATCACAATTTTACATTTATTTGTGCTTATAAGTATATATGACACTTATATAAGTGTTTGTGTTGGAATATGGGGAATGTTTGTTCAGTTGAGTTGTATATTAAAATTATCATCTGCCACTAGCTTCATGCCTTTTTGCAAGGTGTTTTTAATGAGAGAGCTCTTACAATTGCTTATGACATATGGTAAGATAAATATTCATGAAATATATATTTCCTGTGATTAATAATGTTCAAAATTCTTCCAGTTAATTTTCCAAGCATGAATCAGTAATAAAAGCTTAACCAGTTGATTTGGTGGCAGCAAAACAGTTCTTGTGTGGTTAATCATTTGCCTTACTTTGCTCTCAACTGTCATCTTATGTTCTTTCCTCCCTTCCTATCCCAATGGAAAATGTCTTAAATTTGACTTTTCAATCACTGAATAGTCTACGCCATGGAAATTAATCGTAAGTTTATATGGAAAGTATGACTCTAGTCCATGTAATGTTTGTATTAATCCATCTCTCTCTTAGCTAACCACTGATAGTCTTATACTAGTTTCAAATTCTCCTATTTTCAATACTGTTTTAAGTAAGTAAAAAGTAAGTGAACGTTAAATTCCTGGTTAATCCTTCACTAGTCACTCTTGACATCATTCCTTTTTTCTTTAATTTTTTCAAGAAGTAGTTCTCATATGATTGAAGTGACATTTCAAATAAGCAGAGAAAGAAAAGATTTATTTTCTAACTGAACATCAAAACAGTTGATTAACAAAGCCGAGAGGAGAGAGAACCATGACTTCCTACCACATAACATAATTATTTTCAAAGCTAGTGTATATGTGAAACCAATAAAACAACCAGAAGACAGCATAAGCTAATCTTAAGGAACTTGAAGACACAACTTTCTAGTTAATAATTTAGAAAGTCAAAAGATTTGTCTGCCTAGAAATTAATAACTTCTATATATGAGAAGCCCAATAAAGAAATGGGCAAAGGTTACAGATATGCCCAGTGAAGTGTCACTATATCTGAGTCCAGAATTGAGCTTTTTTTTTTTTTTTTTGAAGATTTATTTGTGCATACAGAACTGGGGCACAGGCCAGAGGTGCAGGGTGGTGAGAGGATTCACCAGCGAAAGAGTGGAGAGAACAGGCAGACTGTCGAAGTACACTGCTGAGGGGAGCAGCGGGCGGGTCAGGAGAGGTCTGCTGCGCCCTGTGGGTCACCTCTGGGGCAGGCGGGGATCGAACTCATGCGGAAGTGGCTTTAGCTTCTTAGTGCTGTGCTTTAACCCATGCGCCACCAGGGAGGGCCCTGAACTTCTTTTTTTAATTTACTTTCTATATATTTTACATTTTTGTTCTCCCTCTCCCTCTCCCTCTCTCCCTCTCCCTCCCTCTCTCCCTCCCTCCCCCTCCCCCCACCCCTTCCCCTTCCCTTCCCTCTCTCCCTCTCTCTCTCTCTCTTCTCTCTCCTCTCTCCTCTCTCTCCTCTCTCTCCCTTTTTAATACTGTTGCTTTCTTTTCTCGGGTATAGTCCTATAGAATTTCCACCACCAATTCAGCTGTGCACCATCACCATAGTCCATTGTGCCTTTCCGGCCCTCAATTTAGTCTCTCCCTCCCCTTCCCCTGCAGAATGTCTCTGACTTATAGTTTTTATTGTTGTTTTGTTTTGCTGTTTTTTTTTATTGTTATTTTTTTCTCTGTGTCCCTTATTTGGTTCTCCTATATTCCTCCTATAAAGTGAAACCATCCAATATTTTTCTTTTTCCTTCTGACTTATTTTACTGAGCATGATCCCTTCTAGTTCCATCCATGTTGATGCAAATGGCATTATTTTATCTTTTGATTGCTGTATAGTATTCCATAGTGCATAGATGCCACATCTTCTTAATCCAGTCATCTACTTTTGGGCATTTGGGTCAAGTCCTTAATCTATTATAAATAATGCTGTAATAACCATAGGGGTGCATGTCTCCTTTTGAAGTCATGTTTTGGTGTCCTTTGGGTAGATCCCTAGAAGTGGAATTTCCGAGTCATATGGTAGCTCCGTTTTTAGTAGTCTGAGAAGCCTCCACAGCTTTCCACAATGGTTGGACCAGTTTGCACAAAAATGAATTTCTTATTTTCTTTGTTGGAATTGATCTTTTCACATGGGAAAATTACTTCTTATGAAATAAGAAGAAAAATCATATTCAAAAAGAAATAGGTCATTTAGCAACATGGGTAACCGTTATTTATTCTTGACACATTTTCATTTCAGCTCCTTGTGGTGACAATCTGTTTGATGAGGAAGGCAAGCGGCTGCCCCCCTGCATCCCTGGGGCCTGGCTCACACCCGCCATCATGGCATGCTACCTCCTCGTAGCCAACATCCTGCTGGTGAACCTGCTCATCGCCGTTTTCAAGTACACATCATAGCTGAGGACTATGCTCCTCTTCTTTATTATCTGCACATTTTCAGTTTAACCCAGATATCGCTGCCATGTAGTTACACAGAATTACACTAAAACAACTAAAGGCAGTATATTTAGTTCCATCATAATCAGCCTGAATGTATTTATAAATCAAGAGTTGAAGCTTAAATACATTTACACTTAGTCTTGGTTAGTATTTTAACACTGAGTGTGTCTCTTAAGCTAATGAAACTATTTTCTTAAAGGAAATAGTTAAACCTCTCTCTTTTGAGAGAGATTTGATCAAATTTGCCTTTGATTCTTTATGAGAGGCACAGAAAGTAACGTTAATTTTACAGTTATTGAAATAGTCTATGAATTACATTCCTTCTCACAAAATAGAAAACGGCCTAGGAAAGAAATGGCAAGTTTCTCATAAAATTTAGCTATTCTGGTATGATGAATTGAGTATGTAGCCGTGCTTAGTAAATGTTGAAGAAAAAAATTTAGCTTCTCAGATGAAAAATATGAGTAGAAAATCCATCACAGAACTATAGACACTTACAACTGACCAGGGCATGGAAGAGAATCTGGTTCCCGGCACTAGAGTAAGAGATGAGAAATCAGAGGTTTCTAAGGTCCCCATAGAAAACACACGTTGTCACAAGTTCAACGTCTGACAACCACACACTGCCTCCAATTGAAATCTAAAAGAAGGCAAAGAATTGTACTTCCCCAACACCAAAATAATGCACCTTAAGTCAAATAAGTTCAATAATTTATCCACTTGTTTACCAAAAAGAGTAGTCTCTACTTGACCAAATTGAAAGTTGAAATACGTCTGAACACTTAGTGGAATGGCTTGTATGTGTAACTATATGGGAAAAAAATTCCTAAGTATGTGTCAGTAGCTGGATGATGGCTTCTAAAGAAAGCCATTCATAGTGACTTCAATGCATATCTTTATTTATATGAGTAAACTGTCATTGAGCACAGGTAGACCAAAGCCCTGGTAATCAGTGGCAGGGCTAACTGGCACTGAAAGATCACTTCATTGTGTATTTTCACTTCTGAGAAATCCTAACAACTAATAAAACCGATTTTAACTTTGTATTCTCTTTGAAGCAATACTTTCTTTGAAGTCAAATCCATCTCCAACCAAGTGTGGAAATTCCAGCGATATCAGCTGATTATGACATTCCATGACCGGCCGGTCCTACCTCCGCCAATGATCATTTTAAGCCACATCTATATAATCTTTATGCGCCTCAGAGGTCGCTGTAGGAAGAGAAAAGAAGGGGACCAAGATGAGCCGGACCGTGGACTGAGTACGTACAGGACTCTTTCCTGTCTAATTTCAAAAGTGCTGCCACTGGACACCCTCGCGGAATCTCACCCTTAAATGTGTTAAAAACACAGCTCTCTATGCCAACTGTTTTTCTTTGCATACTGCTTCTCATTTTGTGTTGCTTTTACTCCAGTTTTGTAAACGTATTAGAAATTAAAATTGCAGAAAACCCACTCATACTAAGATGGAAAGTTGAGCATTCTTGCAAATAACTCTTGGATATAAATTCAATCTTCCTTTCAGATGTCTCGAAGAGGTGCCTCTACAGTGGGGGGAGGGAAATGCACTGGACTATGGTGATGGCACCTGGGTGATTTGGTGATGGGAAGCCCAAGGGGATTGCAACTGAGATGGAAAAATGCACAAAATGATGTAAAAATAAATTATTATGTTATTAAAAAAAGATGTTCCTCTAAAAAGGAAGCAAAAATCTTGCCACTGGACTGTGTAAAATATTTACAAAAAGCTTCTCAGAAAATAGTGCTTGGTTTTCCCTTCTGAATATCTGTCATTTTTGTTTTTTTAATGTTAAAATGTGAGCTATTTTGCTCCAGTGGAAAAGACAGTTGCTGCAATTACTATGTGTCTCTGTACACTAGGCATCTGGAGAAGTTAGAGAATTGCCTCCCAGGGACAGAGAAGGGAACTCAGTTGGGGGGGAGGGGGTGAAACGCACAGTGATGCAACTACATTGGCTCTTCATGGCTATTGCTGTGTTGTCCTTTTGCACAGAGCTGTTTCTCAGCGATGAGGAGCTGAAGAGGTTGCATGAGTTCGAGGAGCAGTGTGTGCAGGAGCACTTCCAGGAAAAGGAGGACGAGCAGCAGTCGTCCAGCGAGGAGCGAATCCGCGTCACTTGTGAGAGGTGTGCTGGTCCCCGGGCTGTGGGTTTGCAGACTCCTTCACTCCCCCCTGCCCCCCCAGGGAGATGCTGAAGCTCTTTTAAGCATTGTCCTGAGTCCTCTTGCTGAATCAGCGTTTGGAGTTTTCATCCTCCGTCCCCAGAGTCACGAGATGGTGACTACATACTGCAGAGTGAATGATGCCTTATTTGTGTTGGAAAAACTCCAAGCAGAATCAAAACAATCCTGACAATTCTTGCCCACACCCCCAGTGGGGGGTGTTGGGCAGACACCCTGCATTTAGTGCGTGGAGTAAGGGCTTTGTTAGTCCCTGGCCACCCATTTTGCTCTCTTCTCTGCTCCCATTAGTGCCTGCGCCACTGTGTTTCTCTAGGAACTGACCTGGGCATCTGCCTTATGATCTTGCTCTTCTCCCAACACCTCTCCCAACCTCACAGGGCAGAGGGAAAGACTCCCTCCTCTGTGCCCCATGAGACCAGGAACTTCTGGAGGGGCAGAGGCCTCTGTCCCCCACGCGGGTAGAAGCCTTTCAACGGGAGCAGGCTCTTTTACGTCCTGGGTACCCAGCAACATCCGCGTCATCTGTGTTATCCGTGTCCAGAACTTCTTGAGTGTAGGATGAATGAATGCTTTCACGTGGGAATCAATAAATAAGCAAATGAGGCAGATCCGGGAGGGGCAGAAAGGGGGACATTTTCCAAACCTGATAACATTCCTCTTCCTGCAGTGGGGAGTGAGTAACCAGCAAAGGCCAGATGGGAACCGTAAACCTGCACTATCAGCGTGTTTTATGGATACATGTTCCATAATTTTTGGAGCATGTATCATTTAATAAAAGCGATTTAAGCTTGTTTAGGATCATGATAGTCAAGAAAATATTGTTCCAAAAAGAGTAACCAAACTTCAGGGAGTCAGATGCAGGTGAGATGGGGTCAAGGATATATTCCTAATGGGTTATAGGCCAGCATTATATTTTCTGAGTACTCAGAATGCAAATACATGATAAAACTTTAAAAGAATATTTCCACACATAATTGCCAATCAAGGACCCCAATAATTACAACAGAATTCATGATACACCTGAAGGCTCCCTGGTGCATTTGAAGCCAGCGACTGCCTCAGTCCATAGGCGAGACAACGCATCTGGCAGCTGGGGGGGACCCTCTCCCCTCCTAGACTTAGTCATTTTATAATCCGACCAGTCATAATCAAGGGTGATCTGTACCAACCTTGGGCCTTAATAAGGTACATTTTCAGTAAAACTTTGAAATGCGTCTGTGCTACTTTAATAATGCTAAGATTTCAGGCTATAAAAAGTACTGGTTTCATGAGATAGCTTATTTTGATCATTTTAAATGCCCAGTTTTAAATGCCCAGTTAGACATTAACTTGAATTTAATCACAGTCAGTAATTTACAATGGAAATGATGTTTGGTTTCACTCTGCCTCTTCCCCTCCTCCCTTCCTTGAGCATTGTTTGGATTTTGACCATTCTTCAATCAGAACTCCAAGAATGTGGTTATCAGGTCACTACCAAATTGCATTTTCCTCTGGGGGCTCTGTGTACTTTAATAGGAATGAAAGTGTGCCAGGCAGTAAAAACAGGCTGCTTCCTGTTTCCCTTGCCGGAGATCTCCAGGAGAGATGGGAACACACTGCTACCCCTCCAGGTCCCTGGATTGACTCTTTCTAGGCTAGGCTGAATCACAGATGGACAAGAGACCCAAGCAGGCGGGGCTTGGGGTTTTCTCAACTAGGACAGAGGGGAGGAAGGGAGAAGGTGAAAGAAGGGACATAGAATTACTTATTTCTACCTAACTTTTGGCACCCGGTGGTTTATTTTAAAATCAAATACGTGAGAGCTCAGAGATCTCTGTCAGTTCTTTGATCTTTATTGTCTGGCTGTTTTTATTTTCTGCAGCCATTTGATGATTTCCCTGTGTTCTGCTAGCTGTATGGCAGCACCATTCAGAAGGCAGGCTCTGGACGGGGCGACGCTCGGGCTTCAGTTCCTTCCTCCCCTCCCTATTATCTGGACACCTTCTTCCAAACTGGGGCCAAAAGTTTGCATGTCTCAGCCTTACAAACGCGCCCGCACAGGAAGTTTAAGTATTTGTCCTGTTCCCTACACGGAGTGGGGTGGGGCTCTACGGGCTTATAAGCAGGACCCAAATCCATGGCTTTCTCAGGAAAGAATCTGTGAGTGAGTCAGTGTAGGTGCTTTAAAATGAAGATTTACTCTAAGTCAAAGGAGTGGGTTTGTTAAGGAAAAAGGGACATTTACACAGGCCAGACGGCAGTTCTGAGGGGCAAGGTGCTGCCTTTTGAAAGGGGCAGGATTATTAAGAAAGAGACACCCGTGTATGGACACAGGTGGGCAGTCTTGGGGTAACACCTGTATTTTGCCCGAGTAAGGGGTATCTTCGTTTTTTAAAGTGGCATTTTTTCATTGTTCTTGGTGGAATTTCTCCCTTGGAGTCAGTTGGCTTCCTGGCTGGTTTTCCTCCCCCATCTCCGGATCCTGGCTTTGCCTGAACATCTTCCATAGACTTTTGTTAGTCACCCCATCTTTGCCTCAGGCTAGTCCAGGAGACAAGGAGTCTAGAGGCTGGAATCCCAGTGTCTTCCCCAGCAGGGTGTCCAGGGATGCTGTGGAAACCAGAGAAGAGCTGATCATGAGGAGGGGGTATAAGGCAAGCAGTTTAGTGTGCTTTAAAGGGTCATCTTACAGAGGGTCATCGCAGTTGTTTCTACATGTTCTGCTCTAAGCTTCCATCACTCTCACTGCAACATTTTGCAGGTCCACCGTTTATTCCATCAACAAGAGATGCACCATTTGATTCAATCGGTTAACACAAAACTGCAGGGTATTCCGCCCAGAGCCCTCTCCAACAGGCCCACTTAGCTGTAGGGCACGGCCCTCGTGCTTGGACCTGCTGCTACACTCTGGACTCTGGGCACAGCAGCTCCACCGTGCTCAGCACACCAGGTATCACCACGCCTCCCTTTTCATTACGACTCGTCATCAAGCTTCCCCTCATGAAGAAAACATGGTCCACTCACTTCTTTCGTTGTCTGTCGCCAGCAGTTGGACCAGCGGCCCATCACCTTCACTTTGATTCTTAGTGTCCCTAACTGAGCCTCCTGGTTCACTTCTGCTCTTTGAGTCCATTTTCCTCTCAAAAGGCTGAGAGCAAGAGGATCCTGCCAACCTCCCTACCCATTTTCCTTACAAGTCCTCAGTGGGCGCCACTGCCCCCAGGCCTAAGGGCAGGTCAGCCCAGCCTCCCCCTAATGCTCAGCACCCCAGCCTCGCTGGTTTTCTTTCATTTCCTCAGAGGCACGGCTTCCTTCTGCCACAGGGCTCTGCAGTTGTCCCGTTACCCGTTCGTTCTTTGGATCTCTACTCAAATGCCAATTGCTTATGGAAAATGTCCCTGACTACCTCACACCTTAGGCTAGGGCAGGTCCTTCAGGTGGGAGGCTCCACAAAAGCAGGAACACGTCAGGATTTTGCTCCCCAAGATATTCCCATAGCCCCCACGTCTCTGCAGAGACGGAGGTCTGAGGTGAGGCCAGGTGGTCTGTAAGATGATACAAGTCTAGAGCTTAACACACTATAGGGTGCTTATTAAAAAGGAGGGACCTAGATTTAGACTTCAGTCGGGTTAGTATTTCACATATAAAAACTCTAGAAGTCAGCATAACCAGATTCTACCCTGGGTGTTTCCCCTAAAAATTACTAAAGTTAAAAGACAGCCCCGTGTGAAGCAGTAGATGGGAATGAAAAAAGCTGGATATAAAATTTGGAGTGGATTAGACAGCATTATGAGCTGGGGTAAAATTACAGGGTAGGGCTAGTCTTAGAACTCAAATGCAGAGTTGCTGAAATACAGCGTTCTAAGACCAGAGACAGAGGGGAGCCGGAAACATGAGTTTACTTCAAGTATGAACTAGACTGAGTTGCTCCACTAACATTATGGTAACGTTTAGCTCTGTCATTAAGGAAATGTTCCCATATAATTTTAGGAGATGCCTCGCAGGTGAAGTGTGATGGTTGCCCCTGAGATGACTGTACCTAAAGTAGGTTTAATAACTGGCTTCAGTAGAACCCCCAATGACTTAAGTCCCGCCCTTTGGAACAACACAGGGATTCGTACCATGACAATATAAATTGGGACCTTATGTTTCATAGCCAAGATTCTGTGCAATAAAATTATACCATCTGTAGGTATTTTCTTGGAAATAACAACAAGATCCCTAATGATTTATATATTGTGATAGGTACCATTTGAACAAGATGGAAGACATCCTTGACAACTCCTTAACAGAAATGCGGTTTAAACTACTTTTAAGGTCTAATGGTCCACTGTTCAAAAATCAAAGACCCTAAATAACAGATATGCTGAGATATAGGTAAGAGCCTGTGGAGGTTGGCAGGCATGACTTCCTCGGGTCTTGTCATTTTACACTTGCTTAGCACTTCTGGCTCCTGGGGTACTGCCTCCTCGACAATGTCATCTAATTCTCACAGCATCATCGGCTGCTGTGTTCGCGAGTCACTGGCAACAGGTGTGCAGTAAAGAGGAGCAGGTGGAACTGGGCTTATCTCAAAAAGGGTCTTAAAGTTAACAGAAAGTCAGAATAACCTTTTCCCTGAAAACAAGCTAAAAAGACAGTCATGATCTATAATGTTAGTTGTTAATCTTATATTATCTTTTACCTTAAGGACTAAGTGGAGTTATTTCTATTCATATGCATAAATTATATATTTTTTCATATAAGCATTCTATATTTAGCAGTTGTATGTTTTATATATAGCCAGTATTCATATATCATAGGATTATAATGTAAAAACGTATATTAAATATTTTCTCTTTTAATTTTTATTACATATGTAATTCTATATTTTAAGTATATACTTTATAGATGTGATTTTGAGTCATTGGAGTATAGCCTTTTCATAGAAAAATCTAAAGACCAATCTACACTAACCTCTGAGTCAAATAAAGAGTAGAAGGTTATTATTAATCAAGACTGATTCAGCAAAGTGGGCTCTAGACCCTTACTGATTTGAGTAAGGGATACACTGAAGCAATAAAGAGCAGGACAAACAATGTCATCAATCAAGACCAGGTGAAATTCTGTTTAGCCTCTGACAGGAGAATGATTAATTTGGGTCCAGCAGCTTATAGATTTCAAAGTATCTAGTTTCCTTTGCTATAAAAGAGTGGAGACAGCTAGGCCACAGGCATTGTTTCTCAGGCCTGCCAACTGAAAAATCATGTTTGGTGCTTAGAGAAGCCTTGCCATTCTTTCCAAATATATTCATGGGGAAGTAAATGCTACCGGAACATTCACATTCAGAAATAGTTGCAGAAGCCACTGACTAAAATTGAGGGCAAGTGGATAAAAGCAGAACTAATAAGAAATCAGTATCGTGTTGTGTAAGAAAAGTTACTCCCCACCATTCAGTCCCTTTGAGGGGACTACTAATTTACTAGAACAATAGTTGTAAGTGATTTGATCAAGGGATTTCATATATCCAAAGGAAAGTACTAGCATAGATTGTAAAATGAATATATTTTTGAAAATTGATCTACACTATAATAAACAACACAGTCATATTAATCTAATTAAATAATACCTGAAACCAGTATAGCAACATAATTTTATCTACGATGTTGGGGCCCCTGACATCCCAAATGCAACTCTCATTCCTCAAGTTTTTTCCATAACATCAAAAGTAGCTACAAGTTCTAGAGCAGGTCTTTTCAAGCTGAGAGGATCCAATGCCCCAACATCTGAGGTCCCCCAATTCTAAGAAAATCTGACTTTTTCATCTTGATGATGATGGTATATTTATGAAGATGAGCAAATTTGAGGATGAAAGGAAGGAGACTAGATTCTGATTACTTGACCAGTAAGTAGACACAGTGCAAGGCAGAGGGGATTAAGTTCCCACACTTCTGTTTGGAGAACAGAAGCGGGAAGCTCAAGGCCACAGGAAGTACTAGGGAGCTTGTGGAGCAGCAGCTTGGGAAAGACTGAAAGCTTTCAGGGCAATAAGATGAACAAAAAATGGCGTGAGGAACTCTGGATTTTGATCCTCCCCCCATAAAAGCAGCAATAGAACTGGCAGTGATGTGTAGAATGAACTTATTCAGAACTGTAAATTAACCAATGGCTTGCAAAAACGAGTGGAGTACTTATTCAAGAAACATGGCTTTATCTTGTTTTTTAAAGCTTTGTGACATTCTAACCTACAAAGTTCCATTCCCCAGTCTTCAGTTCAAGGGTATTCTTGAAAATGATAATTTGAATTCTTGGAACCAGTAGAAGCAGAAAGGGCCTCATCCACTGAGCATTGTCAATGATTTGTTTTATCTTGTCTTGTGGCTCAAAAGGTTTGTTTTAGTTTCCCAAGACTTGGAACTGACCCAGTGCTAAAGTGGCTGAACCAGGTGGGAGGGAGGGGGTTGCACACACACACACACACACACACAAGTGCCAGGGAAATGTTTCTATCCTTATGCCCTGGGATGACAGATAACAGAACTGGGACAAATGATAGACTAACTAAACAGCATGGGAGAAAAGTAGGACATGAATTGGCCATGAGGGCTTTGGCACCCAGATGTATTTCTGGCACTCCAAAAGGCCATTCCAAGCAGAGGACAGTGACCGTGCTCCGGAAAGATCTAAGAAGGTGAACACACAATCTGTCTGGTCTTGAGGCTCTAAGAGAACAGGGAAGAAAAACTAAGGCAAAACTGTGACCTTCCTGACTCACTCTTGAAGACATGAGAATATAGAGCCCCTCGGCAAAGATTGGAGGAATTTCTATTCGAGATGAAAGGAAACCTCTCTACTCATTAGCCAGTCACTAAACTAGCAGAATAGAGATTCCGGTAGCCACACACAATAAAGAATACAGACTTTGCAGAATCCTTTCTAAAAAAAAAAAAAAAAAAAAAAAAAATCACTAAATAAACAACAGTAACTATAATAAGTAGCAGTAATAACAAACCCTGGAAAGGAAAGAGAATCTGACTTCCAGAGTTGCCACATTATTGAAAATGCACAGTTTAAAAATAGAAATTGTAAGACATGCAAAGAAAGAAAAAAGGATGACCCACACATTCAAAAAAAAAAAAAGGCCATCAGCTTGGACTGGAGTGTTGGTAGGGATGGGGCATTGTGGAGACACATAGCCCTGCTAGCTCAGGGCTTCTCAAGCTCAGGTGAGGGGCAGTTAGTAGAGAGAGGGCAGGAAGTGTGGGCTGGCTAAGGAGTCAGAGGACTCTGAGCTTTCTTTTTTTCCTTTTTATATTTTTTACATCATTCTTCATTCTGTACATTTTTTCCGCTCAGTTGTTGTCCTGTGAACTTCCCACCACCACGTCACCCATGTGTCATTGCTTTCTTAGGTGTGAGGGGCTGTCAATGCTGTTATCTGACCTAGGTAACACAGGAAAGAAATAGAGAATTCTAAGAGACTTGGGAGGACACTTACTCCCTATTTCATCAGCTTATTTACTTGTAAACGTTTGCACAGCTGCATTATCTCTTCCTAGAGAGTTTGTGAAAGGATCTCAGTTCGCTGTGACAGCAGCAACTTGGCTTTGATACTAAAGGAAGCACAGGGCTAAAAGATTTAAAGTGAACTAGGAGACATTCGAGTTCATGGAGAAAATCAAGTCTTATTCCAGGAAGTGGAAAACTAACAGAGATAAGTTCTGCGGCTGGTCCCTGGAGCAAGCAGGAGAAACTTAGGACAGGTTGCAGTGGTGAAAATCTTTTGTCAGGACTTAAACACGTAGCCCTCCTTGGGGCGAACCTCCAGAAAGCCAGACCCTGCTCAAATGATGTGGTTTCCTGGGATGTATAAATAGTTCTCTCCCCGCAGAAAGAGTTAAAAATAGACCCTCCCGCAGGGCAGGGCACAGCTGTTGATGTGGCCCACAGGAGCCTTCCAGAAGCAGTTCTGAGAGAAATGGGGCAAGGTAGCTGCAGAAGCAGCGGGGAGGAAGGAGTGCGGGGATGTGGTCAGGTAGAAAGCAGAAACCTGCAGAGAGGCTGGAGGCCAGGAAGGGGGGAGAGGAGAGCAGGAGAACAGGTTTTATAGGAATTTGTAAGGCCATGTAGTGAGGGCAGCAAAGCCCAAACTCAATGCAAGGGGGTGGGGGAGGGGGTAGAGACTGCCTGTGCATTGCCATAAAAGACAGAAAACGGGAGAAAACCAAAGCTTAATGGAGTCTTGCCCAAATGTTGGCCTCGCACAGGCATGTACTTGCCAAAGCCCATCACCACCCGGCCTGGGTCAGGACCAGAGGCTCCCAACCAGGGGCCAGGATCCCTTCCCCCACCACCACCACCCCAGAGATAAAGCTAACATTTGGGAGGTAGTCCTGAGTCCTGAGCATACCTTGAAGCCTCTCAGAGTTGAATTCACAAACTGACTGAAAGAACTTATACTCTATACATTCTTGTTTATATATATATATATATACATACATACATACATACATACATACATACAGAACTGGGGCCAGAGGTACGGGGGTGAGATGATTCACCAGAGACAGAGCGGGGAGCAGGACAGGCAGATCAACGAAGTACACTGCTGAGGGGAGCAGCAGGTGGGTCAGAAGCGGTCTGCTGAGCCATGTGGGTAGCCTCCCTGGTGGGGGACTGAACTCCTGCTGCAGTGGCTGCAGTAGCTTCATAGTGCTGCACTTGAACCCCTGGTGCCACCAGGGAGGGCCCCTCTATATATTCTTGAAATAGAAAAGTCTATTATATCAGCAAGTTTTGGTTCAGGCAACATGATTGCAAAGGTTGTTGCCTTATCTTCTGGAAGTTAAAAAAAACCTAACATATATTTATAATCTGCATGATTTTTTTCAACAACCCCATTAAGAGAATGCTAATTATGAAATACAATAAGCAATTTAAAGTTACCAATAGTTTTCAGAGAATGAAATGACTTTTGTCCCTTAAGTAGCTGATCATCTGAATTAACAATTCATTTTCTGAATCCCTGAGCTTCACATAAGAAAATTATTTGCTCTGTCATCATAACCATTCATTCTGCCAGCTACAGTCAAAAACTCAAAAAACTAAGTGCCAGTATTTTCCTTTCATTATTGGTAATCATCAGTCCTGCAGCAAAGTGACGGGTCAGCTAAACGGTAAAAATTGGAGCAAATGCCAAACAAACCACACTGTACCTTCAAATTCCAGCTCCAGTACTCACCAGCTATGTGACTTCGTGAAACTATTTACACTCTATGACTTAATTTCCTCATCTGTAAGTGGGCGTGATGCTAACAGTACATACCTCCTTGGGCTGTTGCAAGGATTACACAAGCCTAGAGTAATAACCTCAGTGTGTGTTTCTCAACAAGTACAGAGGCAATGGGTGGCAGGCAGTGAGCACCACAAGGGTTAACTGGGTTTCTCTCATTTCCCGATGCTCATCACAGTCATTTTTAGTAACAATAGCAATGGGGGAAGCTTAAAAATATGCCCAATGAGCTCCAAGGTCCTCAAAAAACCTGAAAAATCATATCGTTTGTGCTTTTACTATTCTCTTTGTTTAATAATTCTTTTGTATTCACTAGGGTTGAAAACATGTCAATGAGGTTGGAAGAGATCAACGAAAGAGAAAATTCTACGAAAACGTCTCTGCAGAGTATGGACCTTCGACTTTCTCAGCTGGAAGAATTATCTAGCAGAATGGTGAATGCTCTGGAAACCCTCGCCAGCGTTGACAAGGCCGATCTGACGCAGACACCGTCACAAGCTTCTTCTGAATGTGATGCAACTTTTCTTCTAAGGCAAGGCAGTATCAGCAGTGCCAATGGCTACAGCCTGTACAGGTATCGATTTAACGGGGAGGAGTTGCTACATGAAGATAGTTCTCTCTCCATGTCTCCACAGGCAGGACTCAGGAGAAAAGCCTGTTCCTTACATCTGAAGGAAGAGAACGATTTGAAAATACCTCTGGAAGCCGGCTGTCAGGACAGCCTTTGCCTTTTACCCAGCTCAAGCATGCCAGCAACACCAGACTGCTGCCAGCTTGCATCAGACAACGACAAGATCACATCAGAGCTGAAAACAGGTCCAGATATTGGGATTTCAGATGAAGATGGCAAAAAGCAGGCAGACTCCAAAAACAAAGAAACGCTGCCCACAAGTTTAAGTCCAACAGATGTTATGCATGGACAGAACAAATCAGATTTTCAAAGCACACAGTTAACAGTGGAAACAGCAAAGATAGAAGGCACTATCTCCTGTCCCCTGCAAGAAACAAACATGATGTGCTATTACCCCGATGAAGCAGTTAACGTTTGTAAAACGATGAAGTCCAGAAGTTTCGTATATTCTCGTAGAAGAAAGCTGATGAGTGAGGTTAACAAGTGGAGCGCAGAGGCCTGTTCAGTCACGAGCCAAGCATGTCCCTCTGCAGTTGAACAGTGGACAACAAAATGGAAATACCAAGTTCAAAAGATCACACGCTCTCACAGTACTGAGATCCCTTCTTTTGTGTCGGAAGCTGTCATGCAAGCTGAGCATGAATTCACAGATCTCGAAGATGATGACTGTGTTTCTGAAACAGTCCCTCTGGCTACTCACCTAAGTCTAGCTGCTGCTGACACAACTGGAAAAGAGAACTTACTGTCTGTGAAACCAGAACAAATTTTGAGATTCCCAACTTTAAGGTCAAAAAGTTTACATGGCCCTCGTAGGCATGCTAAAGCTGTCCAGGGCAGACTAGACAGCTCTGGACAGCCAGCAATATAAGTGACTTAATAACTGTCTAGAATTACAAGGGAAGGACAGAAGCAAGAGAAAACTTCAGCAGAGACTAATATTTTTTTTTTAAGATTTATTTATTTATGCATATAAGAATTGGGGTTCAGCTAGAGGGGTGTGTGGGGGGGGATAGAGGATTCACCAGAGACAGAGCAGGAAGCAGAACAGGCAGACTGAATGAAATGCACTGTTAGGGGGAGCAGCGGGCGAGACAGGAGAGGTCTGCTGAGCCCTGTGGGTCAGCTCCCTGGTCAGGGATTGAACCTGTGCTACAACGGCTGCAGCTTGCTTCATAGTGCTGCTCTTTAACCCACTGCACTACCAGGGAGGGCCCGAGACTAAATGTTAATTTTGTTTTCTAAATCAAAACCATCTTGGTCATCTCAGCATCATTTCTAAAATAAATTTTCATTTAAAATGCTTGAAAATTAGGATTTATGGATTTAAATTTTAAGCACTCAAAGTAATATTTTGATATTAAACTTCATTTTTTTTTATTAGTTGGAATAGGGTCAGAGGAAAGTGACAATTCTCTGATCAAGATAAATTGCATACTTAGGACAGAAGATGCTATGATCTCTTTATTCCCCCAGGCAACCGCAGAGCAGAAGAAATGCTTTTAGGTGCCACAAGCACTTACTTAAGAGGGAGCTAGGGGAAGGGAAGGTGTGAAACATGCACATAGGGCTGTGTGGAAATGTAACCCCCCAAAGATGGAACTATGTGAAACAACCGGCAAATAATACAGTCTGAGGGAAAAATACACATCACCGATTGAATACCCATGTCCAGTGTGAGCTGACTTGCTGTTCCTGCAAGTTGGCAGGGAAATTCAGAGATTTGTTCAGGTATAAGGTCAATCCCTTTGGCAGGGCTAGTTGAGCTGCGTGACCTGGAGAGACACTTGTCTCTCCCTTCTTTTTTAATTTTTAAAAATAATATAATAGTTTATTTTTACATCATTTTGTGCCTTTCTCCATCTCAGTTGTAATCCCCATGGGCTTCCCATCACCAAATCATGCATGTGCCATCACCATAGACCTGTACACTACACCCTCACCCCTCCACACCTCCATTTTTTATCCCATTTCCCACTCCACCCCTGTAAAATGTCTCTGGTATATAGTTGTTCATTATTATTATTATTTTCTCCCCTGGTCCCTTATACTCCTACTATGAGTGAAACCATTTGGCATTTTTCCTTTTCTTTCTGGCTTATTAAGTATGATCCCTTCCATCTCCATCCATGTTGCTGCAAAAGGCATAAGTTTATCTTTTTGATTGCTGAGTAGTTTTCCATTGTATATATGTACCACATCTTTTTAATCCAGTCATCTAGTTTTGGGCATTTGGGTTGACTCCATGTCTTTCCTATTGTAAATAAAGCAGCAATAAACATGGGGGTGCAGGTGTCTTTTTGAATCAGTGTTTTTGTGTCTTTTGGGTAGATGCCTAGGAGTGGGATTGCTGGGTCATATGGAAACTCCATTTTTAGCAGCCTGTTGTTGTTTTTTTAATTGTGAAATTGGTTTCATTTTTGATGGGAGTTTTCAGAATAGCTTTTCTACCTTCACAGAGAATGTTTTGTTTTTACAATGTAGTATTAAAATGAAAATTAAATCTGATTAACTTTGAAGGTCTTTGTCCTCCATTTTTATCTTAACTTTCTCTTTGCTTTTGTGTTTATTGGCCCAGTTTTGTGTCCAGCCTCCCAGCTTTTGTCCCTTGTCTAGCAGGAAACCCTAGTAGATCAGCTTTGAGAATATTCTTACAACGCTTATTATTCCAGTGCCGCCAGACCTTATGCTATTGAGAGGGCTGTCTTCTCTGAGAAGGTGAAAAAATCAGCTGTTGCTCTCCATACCCCAGGCTGGGCTTTCCGGTGGACACTTTCTGGTTACTTTGGACTTCTCTAAAAGCCTCAGCAATCTTCTTTGCTGATAGCGGAACAGCTGGTCTTGTGACTGCTTTGGGTTTGACTCCACTTCTATTCTGGAGATCATGGGGATACCATTTTACTTAGATTTGTTTCAAATGTTGTCCACAGGATTTTGGGTTTGCTTTACAGTTACTTTTTCTGATTCTGTGTAGCAGTTAAACAATTATGCCTCTGCTATCATCTTCCAGGATCCCTCCCCACGCCTGGAGATATAGACTTCTAAAATGTCTTAGTAGCCATCTTACAGGACCATATACTCAGACTGTGGCATAGTTCTGTAGACATTATCCATACCATTTTTAACCTTTTCCACTGCTACCACCCTCACCTCCTTTCATCTAGTTTGTTCTGATAACCCCCAATTAGTCTCCCAGCTTCTACAATGCTGTAGCATGACAGTGGTGAGAGTTTATTTTAAAATGTCAGTCAGAGCACCACACTCTTAGCTCAAAACTTTACAAAAGCTTTCAATGTTCAGCCGTATCTTTCTCTCTGACCTCCTCTCTACTGTTTCAGCTGCACTGGGGCAATTCTCACACCTCAGGGTACTTACACTGCTCTTTCTGTTTTCCACCAGCTTCTTCTCTCACTACTTTTGTTCTCTGCACAAATGTCACCTTTTCTGAAGGGCCTTCAAAGATCACACACCACCTCCCTCCGAAAGAATGGAACATGGAACGTTCATTCTCTTTTGCACAGCTTCTTTTTTTTTTTATGGCACTTGTTATCTGAGGTGTTATCGTTGTTAAACTGATAATGAAAATGCCTTAAAATGTCTTAAAAGCGGGAACTTCGTCCTTCTTAGTGGCCTGAATAAGTTCTTGACACAAGTTAGTATGCAATACAAATTTGGTAACTGGCTGAGTGAATATAAAAGTACTTAGCACCAAATTGGTATTCAAGAAATGTTAGCTCTTTTTCTCTTCACAGGAAATGCTCTTTCTGAATGTCACCATTCCCAATGTTAGAAGAGCTAACAATGGGAACAGAAAAATAGCAGAAGCAAATAGTGATGCTAGTGTAAAAATGAAGGGGGTGGTCAACTAGACCATGCTTAGAGTTTCAAGTTGATGAGCACTGCTGAGAGGCTATGTCTAATGCTACAGACTGCACTGTGTCCCCTCAATACTTACATGTTGAAGCCCTCACCCCAATGTGACTGTATTTGGAGATACATCTTTTTGGGAGTCAGATGAGTGCTCTCATAAGAAGAGACACTAAGCTCAAGTTCCCCCACTTCCCCTTGGCTGTGTGACTGCATAGTTACTGTCTGCAAGCGAGGCAGAGAGCTCTTATCAGAAATATACCTTGTCTGTACCTTGATCTTGTACTTTCCAGACTCCAGAAATATGCAGAATAAATATCCATTGTTTAAGTCACCTAATCTGTGATATGACAATCCAAACAGATTCATACACTGAGATACAACATTTGGCTAAGTCAATAATAAACCTGGAAATCAGATTTTCCTGTTTTCAATAGTATGGTTACTTATTGCAGTTGTACACCTTAAGAAACCTGTACAGCAAAACCTAAATCATAGAGTAAGTCATTTAAGTACAAAGAACAACCCACATACTATTTAAAAATATGTGTGGGTAAAAGTCCATTTCGTGTACAGAAGTCGCAAAACAGTCACTAAAATGTATGTGCCAAGCAGCGTTTTTAATGCCCTAGTGGACTGAATGTTCTGGCGTAGAATTGTGATCCCTGGGGCTTTTGATCTTTTATAAACCCCTCACTAGAGGATGGGTTAGAGAACAAGGAAGGCAACGTGCTTCGTTACTTATTTCCACATTAAAGTCTAGCAAGAAGGGGAGAAGTTAATAAACTAAAATAAACTAAATCGACTCTGGCTGCCTGTCAGAGTCACCTGTCCATAGTTCCCACGCCAAGTCTTAGCATCCGTGGAAACCAGCAGTCAGCTCAGCCGGTAGGACATCCCATCTCAAAAATTTGCGATTAGAAGGGAAGATGGAAGAACGTCTATCCCAAATGTGGCAACAGTGTTGGGGGATTGGCCGGTGCGGTACGGACCGCGCAGATGTCACTAATGGCTGCAACGGGCACTTTCCGGGTGCCGAGAGTGTAACTAGCTGAGTCCCGGGCACTAGAGTCCCCTTCCCTGCGCCCCGGGTTCCCCTCGACGACTTAAAAAGCAAAGATCGGGTGTGCTGGGTGACTAAGGAGGCTCAGTCAAAGGAGCTGTCCCAGGAGGTGAGGTCTGCGGCAGAGTCCGGTGGGACCGTGCGCGGCGCGGGGTCGCGGGCCGCCTCCCGCGGCCGCCTTGGC